TAGGGAAAACATGTACATGTGAAAACGCCCCCACATAAATTTTGATTTTGATGAGTCTGATTTTTCTACGGTCATGATGAATTAGGAGTGAGACTATATACTAACTAATTGATGTAAATAATAATTGATGTGTTTCAGGGACTGTCCCATATGTGTCCTTGATGTGTTTCCAGTCCCATACATTTTCTTAAAACTCAGCAGATCAGGGCTTTTCCTTTTTTTTTTTTTTTTTTTTTAAATTATTTTAAAAGAATAATTAGCATGTCATGACAAAAGTTTGCTGCTTCTTTATAGAAACACTTAATGGAAGAAGAAGGCAGTGTGTCTACAAGACTTGGTTTAACCTGTCACAAGAAAGTTGAGGACAATGCTGTTATGCTTAATTGCTGCATGCGTGCCTCATGATGCCATTACAAGTTAAAAATAAAATTGTTTATTAAAAATAAGTAAATGCAGGAATTGAGTCCCAAATCACTGAATTGAGTATGAATGTTACTTCCTTCAGTGATGAGTCAGATCAGCAATTTAAACAAAACTACACTCATTTTAGGTCTCTTACAGAATATGTATATTTTATTTTAGTTTTACATCACTATGGTAAATGTCTCAGTACACTACACAAGAGTGGCTACACATCAACTCCAAGTTAATCCTGCTTGATTATTTTCTTTTATGAAATGCTGTCACCTGTTGTGGACGAGGCAGAGTAAATGACAGCCTGTGATGGATCAGGATCCTGGTGTTTACTGAAGAACCATCAAGGTCAGAGGTCTTATCCTATTTGATAATTTCACACACTCAGTTGCTCCACATAGTGCTATGTTCAAAAGGTGTCAAATTTCCTCCCTGGCAGGGGAGTCGCTACTGGTCTGAGAATATTGGGCAAAAGTTGTGTCAATTCATGCTGTGCTGCTCATAGTTACCAATGTCAGGTGTCACTTTCCAAAGTTCCTGAGCATCTGCTGGCATTTGTCTCTATGCGTCTCTCTGATCTTCAGAGTCTTCTCCCACTTCCAAGATCTTTCCTTTAGTTAGGAACTTTTTCACCTTCTTTCCAGTTCCCTGTTCAAGACTACTGCCTCTTTTTGAGAATGTTTCTTTTTGGCCTTTTTCTATAATTCCCAAGTCCCCAGTGTACCCAGTATAAGTAGTCTGTGTGGAAGCATAACTTGCAATCAGCCTAACTGATACCTCTTCATTAATGGGAGAATTCTGAAAATGTCAGTTTAGTCTCAGTGTTGTCAAAATTTGCAGCCAGCTCCTTTGGGATGCAGTTAGCAAGTAGCAAGAATCTGTCTCAGAATTCAGAAGTTCCGTTTCGGACAATTTCCTCTTCCCCTCTCCCCTAACTACAGTTATTTGCTGCCTGGTAAAGTTGACATTTCAACCTATTTTTGCCTACAACACCCATCAGTCAGGTTTTCATAATGAAATTCACTGAGAATATTCATCTTAAAGATACCTTAGTAATTTTTTTATATTCTTTTATGAAGCACCAATACAAATGAAAGTTAATAACTTTGTATGCTTAAAGGAAAAATGAGGTATCCAGAGTAAGACTTATGATTTCTATTGTTTATTTCTACTGAGTAATTATATTAAAAAAAAACTTAATTAGTGTAGAGTAATTAGCTGGCAGATTTTCTGCTAGATTTGATGTAATTCGGAAAAATACACTGTTTTCTGACTAATTTAGTCACAAGCATTTGAATTAAGTAGTCTGATAGTGGAAGGATTAACTGGGGAAAAGAAAAACAAAACCAGAAATACTTATAAAAGTATTTAATTACTCAAAGAGGGGAAATCTACTTTAAGAGTTTTTTTTCTTCATGCTCTGATTTGTGTAGGCTACAAAGCTGCAGTGCAATGAATGCTTTTTAAACGGTAGTGTTACCATGTTTTACTTCCACTGGCACAACCACTTATGTGGCTGTGTGATAAACTGGATTGGTGTGATACAGATTAGAAAGTAATGTTTTGCCCTTTTTTTTAAGCCAACTTTGTTCTCACACACGCTTCCCTACCACACAGGCAATTCTATCAGCATGAAAGGATTAGTGGAGGTAAAAGAAAGTACATAGGTACTGTGGACAACTGGTATTGCTTAAGTGCACTGAGATAATATTCCCACCAGAAGACTAAAGGCAGCTGATGGTACACTTAAAGTAAGATTTAAAGTTAAAATAAGATAAACAATAAAGTTTATTTTTTGATCAAAGTATGTGGATTAATGAGTTTCCATAATCACCTGAGTAAATCAATCTATATGACTAACCAGAAGAACAATTCCATATTTGGCTTAATTTAAAATGAAAGCAGATGTAGTTAATCTTAAAAAGTTAAAAATATGAAAATGGTGATATATGAAAATGGTGACATATTAAAAGTACTAACATTCTGTGCTGAGAGTGAGTCTGAGTTCTTTTAACAAAAAAAAGACAAAGATTATTGAATTTTGTAGGTTCCAACTATGATAAATAAAATGTATCTATATTTGACTAATTTTTTTAGGGAGAAAGTAGGCTTTTAAAAAATTTATTTGCTATTTTTGAAGTCTTTGTTTCTGCAGTGACTACAAATTTTTTATATAACCACAAGCAATTTACCAAGGAGTTGGGGTGAAATTAATATCTCCTGCTGTAGACATTTATAAAATGTTGGTCTAATTCAAGTTGATGTGAGGTGACAGACATTTAAGTTTTTCAGATGCTGAGTCATCTGTATTCTGTAAATGAACAAAAGAATCATAACAGAGATTTTGCTTAGAATATGGTGTAGGAGTTTGTTGTAGATTGAATTTTTATTTAAAGTGTACTTAGACATTAATATTCTAATTAGTTTGCCACTGAATTTTTCATACATTCTTTTTTCCACCACAACAGAGTATTTGTTGGAGCCGTTAAAAAAAATTTCTATCACCCTCCTTGCAAGTATTTTGTAGGAGTAATGTTAAATCTCTAGTGCTTTGTAAGTTAGACCAAACAACACCTTTATTTTCCTGCATTATTGTACATGAAAGTGAAGCTAAAAAGGTCTGAATTGACTGCTGCTAGAAGCAGCAGATTATAAGGTTGTTTTAGGTGTATAGTATCTTTCTTCATAACACACAGAACCCTCCTGAGGCTCTTTATTTGGTGCTCATGCCACAAAGAAACATCTTTTCCTACAGGGTATGGTGTGTTTTTTTTTTTTTTCTGAACTTTTTTAGTCAGTGTGGTTTTGATAGTTCTTGTTCATAGGGTATGTAACATACTCAAAAATACTGCCTCAGGTTTAAAACCCTTAGTATCACTGATTCAAGTGTTACATTTATAGTGTAGCGTCAACTAATTTGTGAGAGCAAAAGACTCTGTATTCTTGACCACTAAGTGAGACCATTGTGTTCCAAATGCAGAAAGAAACTGTCCTGTTCTCCTTGAACTTTCATTTAGTTTATGGCATTCTTTCTGTAAAGGTAGAGACATGAATTGTGAACCTCCTTTCATGCGTTTTGTTTTGTAGAATGAAGCTCTTAGTAAGGACAGACTTGGAAATAAAGCTCTGAAATGTGTAACCTCGTGAAAAATTTTATGCTTCTGTTCTTTTAAAATATTTCTGTCAAGTACTGGTGTCTCTAAATTCTACTTTTGGTAATGAACATAGTGGACTGTTCTGAACGTTTTTTTTTATATTACTATCATAACAATTCAGTGTTGCAAACATTTATTTTCTTTTTAATGATAGCATTTTTTTAAAATGGCATGAAAATTTCTTTATATTCTAACACTAAGTTTTTTGTAATATGAAGGACATTTGTGATCATCTCAGACTGGGATCTTATTGATGGGTATTTTTTTTCAAATTGGGAAGCTTCAAGCTTGGTAAACAATACACTATTTAGTGAAGAAAAACTGTGTAATTTGTTCTATATGAGAAAGCATGATCCTAGTCTATCTGAAAACCTTGCAAGTGGCTGCAGTCCAAAGTGTTCCCTACATCTGGGGGCACTAGAGACAGTAGTGACAACAAAGAAAAGTAAACAATTGGTATTTTGGTAATAAAAATAGGAAGAAACTGCAAATAACACAACAGAGAAGGCATGACTCAGTACTTGAATAGGTGTGACCCAATTCCTCTCCTTAAAAAAAGATGAGTTTATGTGTTCATGCTTCACAAAGTGCTTATTATCTGGAAAACAAAGTACTGGTAATGTGGTATAGACAGTGATTTAAAACATTTAGTTACTGGTAGATCAGTAACTTTTCTTAAAGAATATATCAGGTTGAGATTTTTCAAATGACTGTTTTTCCTATGGTTTCTTGTAATACTTAAGAACAAAAGTCTGATGTTTAAATTCTGTGTTATATATTTAGGTATGAAATGCTTCAAATAAGAAATACTAATAAACAAACTATATTTAATTTCTTAATCAGTTTTATTTTAAATAAAAACTTTAGAATTATAAAAAATAATCTAACCTTGTGAAGGTTAGGCCTTTACAAAACAACTTAGAAGTAGTGATCTGTGCTGCAGGAATTGAGCTGTTAGCTTTCATTTGTGTCGCATTTGTGCCAAATAATATGACTTTAAAGCAAATCAGTAACCTTTTCTTTCTTAAGTGCTTAAACACTAACTTCAAAGGATTCATACATATTTCCATGAGTTTCAGTAGCCCTATAAACGTCAGGCCTGTAAAAATAAGAGTAATTTGCATGTTCAGATTCTTAACCTGCAAGGTTAAGTTTAGTTTACCTGCTTTTCCTTCCAATGTGATGAATGCTCTTACGTGCTGTATCAGAATGTATTAATAATAGGTAAAAACGGTTTAGGTGAGTCTTTTCATGTTTTCAGCAAGGGCTGGGTAATAGAAATATGCCTGGGAATTTCTACATGTGAACAGATGTTTCCTTTTCCTCTACTTCTACTCAGTCATTTCAAATAGTTGTCATATCTACCTAGAATAAAATTAGGCGCCTCAGGGGGAGAAGAGTCGACTTAATCTTGCCCTGCTTTTAAACCAGGTGAAGTACCACCAATGAGATGGATAGTAAATTTTGACCGAGATCTTCTAGACGGTCTGGTATTGGCAGCACAAGTGGCAGCTTATTGTCCATATTTGGTAAGGACTTTTATTAATATTGTACAAGTTTTATAATTTATTAATGTAAGTGGGTTTATTCACGCCTTCTTTTCCTTAGGAACTATTGACTCGTGGTTTTTAAAAAGAGAAAAACCATGATATTTAGCAAGTCTAGAGTGACTATTTCAGTATTATTTTTTCTTTTCTCTGGGTATATTCTTAATGGGGAATTTTAGTAAAAAAATTTAGATCTTATAGATTGCTGAAAATGTCAAAATACAAACAGTAATTTTGCTTGGTGGAAGATCAAAAGTTTGATTTCTTTGTCTTCTCTAGATTTCTACTCACTTTGTAAGGATGTATACTACTCCAAGCACTCCTGAAGAGTTTCTGCACAACTGCTTGATACTTGTGAATGCTATGCATGCTGTCAGTCTGGCTATAGACATTAAGGTAAATTATTTTATGCTAACAGTTCTTATATACTTTTATTTTTTTTTACTTTTATGATCTTAATTTGATGTACAATATTACTATGTTTTACTGAAGCAGTTTTGTTTCATGATGTGCTATTGTATTATAGAAACCAAAATACTGCCTCATGTAAATACATCTAATTACAAGTAATTTCCATAATCCCTTGCTTTGTACAATCATATATACATATACACAACTAACTGATTTCAAGATTAGTTCAGTTCAGGTTCTAGCATAGTAAATCACACAATGAAAAGCTGACTGGAATTTATTACTAAAATTCTAAGGCAATTTAGAAATAAAAATGTATTTAATAATAAACATTATGCACTTAAACATAAGGAGCGGTAAAAAAATTATGTGCACTCTATATCACACCAGTACATATACACTACTATATATTACTAGTATATATTACACTTACGTGCATCTATTTAATCATGGATGCCCATGAGGGTTCTATCTCATGTTTGATGCATGTGAGAGTCAGTAGCTTTGCACTGTTGCTGAAAGTAACGCTGTAAACTGTCAGCTTCTGATATATTTTTTTTTAAGAGTACAGTGTTGTTGATGTTAATTTCTTCTTCAATATAGGATTCACTTGGGATCACTTTTACATGTTTAGTAACATGCTTTACATGTCTGTCTTTTTTTCATTGGCTCATGGCTCCAAATTTTCTACATATGGCACTCTTTACATATGTTAGATATTATTTCTTTGTTCTTTTTTTTCCTCTAAAACCAGTTTTCTCCTGCTTACAGTCTGCATTTCTTTCATTGACCATTTGTGTGTTATTTATAGCTGTGGTTTCTGGTAGTACCATACAAAGATTAAACAAATGAATCATAGAGGCCTGATCAATTATAAAAGTTGCTGCTATAGCTAAACCAAGTAAAGCAAAGCATTACAAGCTGGTTAACAGTCCCTCAGACAGAGAAATCTTGTCAAGCCCCAATGCTGAGGGTTCAAATTAAATAAAAAAAATTAAATTCATCACAAAGCTTATGGCCTGTTAATAGCAACAGCAAGGTTGTATTACAAGATTACATGCTCACAGGGATTCGTGCTCTTATCTTCCATGTGCTGATTGAGTTAACTAATTATTACCTATTTAAAATAGCACATTCCCCCTTATTTTCCTTTTTAACTTTGCTAACTGACTCTAAAAATCTTGTCTTCCCCAGGGCTAGTAAAAACTGTTTAAGGACACACCATTCTCGTAAGCATTTGCAGAGTGATGCAGCTTCTATCATGAGTCAAGTGAATGTCAGGGACTGTGATGGGCTGGATGGGTGTGGAGCATATTTGTCTTTCTAGAAGACCAGAAGAGGATAAAAACAGAATAGACATAAAATTTGTTGGTGTATGAGGAAACTTTTCAAAGTAATTAATAGTATTAGGAATCGGAGGTAGATGTGTGGTGTGAACAAAGTAGTATGAAAGGAAGGGCAGTTACAATTTTTTTTTTTCCCCCCCCTTTTCGTTTGACCATGTTATGGTTACAGGAGAAATTAACCCTGTTATTTCCAGTTATATCAACTACAGTCTTGCTCCCACATTGTAATACCAATATGCTGTCATAAATGGCTTTACTATTACAGTCTAAACCAAGAAAATCTATTGTTTTGTATACTTGTGACAGACTGGAAGTACAAAAAGTTAATCTAGGTATAATCCTCAAAATGAAGATGTATTTTGCCTCAGCTTTTGTGAAGAAAAACAGGCAGTTCAGCCCATGAAGGCAGGGGCTAGATGCCAGATATGCAAAAGAAGTTAACCACATTAAAAGTGGAAGTAGAACCCCAGGGCATTATCCTTAATGCACTTACTGTGTTTTAAGACTATAGTCTGTACAATATTACAATATTATTAGTTCAGCATATTTCTGAGGTATTGGTGTTTCTCTAGAGGAAAGACCATCTCCATACAGACTAGGAATTTAAACAAAGTTATATAATCAACACCAGAAAAAGGAATAGATCTTGGAGGTCTGTATTTTAACTCTAAAGTGTGTTCTACAAACAAAATATTGTGGAAAGTAAAAAAAAAAAAAAGTAGTGTGCTTTTTAAATAGATTTTTTTTTTTTTTTAATTCATTTATGATTTCTAAGAGAACTGTAGAAATTTCTTAAGGTTCTTGTCCTTCAGCAATAAAATCAGCAAAGTACATAAATCCTGCTGCTGAACTGTCCTAATTTGGGACTTTCCTCATAGCCTTGTCTTTTAAACTTAGTAGGCTAAGATGTTCCGAGATTATTGGCAAAGATCTTGACTATCAGTCAGTCACTGCTTCTGAACTTTCAGGAAAGCTTTGCATTAATTAGTGAAGTATGGTGGTGACAGCAGAAACCAAGACGTGTTAGGTTTGGAATAGATAACGCTTTCGATCACTTTACAAATCTAAGGTTCTGTAATAATAAAGAAATTTAACTGTCTGGAAGACTTCAGCTGCAACTTTAAAAGATACTTCTAACAGAGTTCAAGGCTTTTAAATTCTTGTAAGGATTAAAGTTTAGACTTAAGATGGAGTACTTTGGGCAAGAAATTTTGTTTCCATTTTGTAATCATGACTGACAGTTCAGCCATGGAGTATTACTGGTGTCTTTTTGTGTGTGTGTTTGGTATTTTTAAGTTCTAAAATACTCCTATTCGAAGATGATCCAACTGAAAGTCCAAAATAAAATATTGCAAGATAGGATAGTGGTTAACAGTGATATGGAGGGAATATATGTGACAAGGACAGATTAGGAGACAAGATGCAAAGATTTGGGATAGCCAGGAGATGTGCTATTGACTCATTTAAAATTTGGGCTGGCAGTACTGACATTTATGTTTGGGATCAAATAAACGGGAGGATATTTTCAAACCTATAGAAGATGTGAGCAAACTAAGAGAGTGTTAAGAGGCTGAAAATGAATGTGGCTGTTCTGTTGAAGGGAAGAGTTCAGTATTGTTATGGAGTAGAAAGCAGTGAACCTGAGCAATAACCTTGCCGTAGGAAGCAAGAAAAGAGGGTAGATGGTAACAGCAAGACTTGCATCTGAAGTGAATGAGAGGAAGAAGATGCTGTCAGTGGTCAATGAAGAAGAGGAAAGAAATGAAGCAACATAGACTTTTTTGAACTTATAGTAAAAGAAAGAATTTTTCCTTGTCTTCAGATTATTGTGTGCACTTAGAGAGGTAACTTACTATCTGTCACTTAATGCTTCAGTTGTATTTTTATTGTTATCATCTCTAAAAATGATTAACACTATTGTCTTTTGGTTTCCTGTACTTCAGTAAGGAGCTATTAACTTAGTAAATATGGCAAATTCTTGGCAAAAGTAACTTTCAGGAAAAGGATTTATTTCTTGATTCTTATATTTGACTAAGATTTCTATATTACTGCAAATACACAGATAGAATTATATCTATCAATCTATAACGTAAAGGCAAATACCGTGGTTTGGTTGAGATAGGAATCTCACATTGAGTGTAGTCTTAAATTCAGGAGTTAAGAATCTAATATTGAGTGTGGTCTCTAAATTGGACATGGATTTGATGGGTGCAACATTGAGTGGATAAGGAGTTGGCTGGGTGGTGGCATTCAGAGTTGCAGGCAGTGGCTCAATGGGCAGGGGGGACACCAGTGATGACTGCTGTCCCTCAGGGGTCCCTGTCAGTAACAGTATTATTTAATGTCTTTGTTGAGGACATGGACAGGGGACTGAGTGCACACTCAGCAAATTTGTGGATGACACCAGGCTGAGTGGTGTGGCTGATACTCCAGAGAGAAGGAATGCCATCCATAGTAAGCTTGACAGGCTTAAAAGGTTGGCCAATGCAAACCTCATGAAGTTCAAGAAGGCTAAATATAAGGTCCAGCACCTGGTTCAAGGCAATCTCAAGCATGGATGGAGGTTGGGAGATGAGTGGACTGAGAGAAGCCCTGTGTAGAAGGATTTGGGGATATTGATGGATGAAAAACTGAATATGAGCAGGCAGCTTAGAAAGCCAATTGCATCCTGGGTTGCATCAAGAGAAGTGTGGCCTGCAGGTCAAGGGAGGTGATTCTCCCCCTCTACTCTGCTCTGGTGAGACTCCACCTGGAGTACTGCATCCAGTTCTGGGGCCCCCAGTCTAAGAAAGACGTGGATCTGCTCAAGCAGATCAAGAGGAGGGACACAAATATGGTCAGTGGAATGGACAGGCTGAGAGAGTTGGAGTTGTTCAGCCTGGAGAAAAGTAGGCTCTAGGGAGACCTTATAGTGGCCTTGTAGTACCTAAAGGGCATCTACAGGAAAGATTTGGAGGGACTCTCTAATTTTTAATAAAGAATGTACTGATAGGGTGAGGGGTAATGGCTTTAAGCTGAAAGAAGGTAGATTTAGATATTGAGAAGCTCTCTACTGTGAGGGTGGTGAGACACTGGAACATGTTGCCCTGAGAAGTTGGGGATGCCCCTTTACTGGAAGTATTGATGGCCAGGTTGGATGAGGGTTTGAGAAATGTGGTCTGGTGGAATGTGTCCCTGCCCCATTGCAGGAGAGTTATAAGTAGATGATCTTGAAGGTCCTTTCCAACCTAAACTATTCATTCTATGATTCATTGACATGATGAGATCTACGTAAACATATGCAATTGCAACCCATAAGTGATCTGTTCAGGCATATCTAGTTTTAGGTTCTTTTCCATTATGCCCCTTAGGCATCTCATAAACATGTTGAAACTAAAGGAAAGGAAACGTGTGTTTTAAAATTGGTGCTGCTTTTTATTTCTACAACTGAAAATGTCTTGAGTCTGGTGTTTTCACCTGGAATATTTATGAAAAGCAACAATATATGTTTGGGATAGATAGTCTTTTAAAAAGGATGTTCATTTGTGTATACATAACAAATGTACATAAATATAAGCTTTTAATCTTTGTTTAGACACCAAAATGACTACTTAAGCGCTTTTTTCCAGATTTGATGACTGTTCTATTGTCACATTGAGC